CAGGGAGTAAAGTGAGTACTCCAACTCAGTGAGTAATAATCATAAATAAAGACTAAAAGTATGAAATCACATAAGGCACATTATAGGCTATAATAAAGTAGTAAAACAGGTAAGAACAGTGGTTCAATAAAGATATGTAAAATCGTATAAGTTCAATTTAAACTTCAAGAAATGCATATTCAACAATTAAACAGGTAAATGACAGACAAATAATACAGATAAGCACATAAAGGATTGCCCCTCGGGTACAATGTCAACAATACCTGCCCCTCGGGCTATATCTCAAATCACAATGGGTACCCACGCTCACTGGGGGTGTGCAGACTCCTGGAGGGGCCCTTTATGGCCCAAGCACAACATCAAGCCATCTCGTGGTATCATCACTAGGCCCTCGGCCTCATATCAAAAAGCTATCTCGTGGCATATAAATCTCAGGCTCTCGGCCTCATAATCATAGTCAATGTTTCCTCACAACATAGGCCCTCGGCCTTACTCAGTCAAAATCTTCACAAGCCACTCGGGCAATAGTAAAACACGATTTCTCAGTCAAATTATCATTTAAAAGATTATTTAAGTGTTAAACATAGTAAACATGGTTGAGTATGAAAACAGTGAAATATAACATGACTGAGTTCAAGTATAAAGTCAAAATAGTGAGAAAATATCAATAAAAGCCCCCGAAGGGTTCAAATAGTTGGCACGAGGCCCAAATATGGCATTCAACCCAAATAATAATGATAACAAGTAGATTTCAGTCAAATACGCGGTAAAATAATTATTCGGGACGGACTAAGTCACAATCCCCAATAGTGCACGACCCCGCGCTCTTCATCAAGCGTGTGCGTCACCTCAATATAGCACAACGATGTGCAATCTAGGGTTTCATACCCTTAGGACATCATTTACAATCATTACTCACCTCAATCTGGTTAAATCTCTAGCCCGCGACACCTTTGCCCCTCGAATAGGCCTCCACTCGCGTCGAATCTATCCAAAATCAGAATCATGGCGTCAAAATATGCTAAGGAAACAAAGCTCAAGCGAAAATACTCAATATACAACAAAAATCCCGAAATTACCAAAACTCGACCCCACGTCTCAGATTTCGGTAAAAATCACATCAATGGATTCCTTATCACTTCCCGAGTTCATACATACCAAAATTATCAAAATCCAACCATAAATGACCCCTCAAATCCCAATTTATATGTCTCCAATTTCAAGCCCTAGTTCTTCAATTTTTAGGCTTAATTTCCATGATTAATTAGGTATATTTCACATTAGAATCGAGTTTTAAGTCCATGAATCTTACCTCCAAGTGATTCCCTTTGAATCCCTCTTCAATCCTCTTCAAAAAGCTCCAAAAACGCTCAACAATGGAGTAAATAAACCCCAAAATCGGGGACAAGACGACTATTTAAACATTCTGCCCAGGCCTGAAATCCTTCTTCGCGAACGCGGTTAAAGCCTCACATTTGTGAAGCACAAAATAACCTTGACCAAAATTCCTCTTTCGCGATCGTGACCTTCCAATCGCGAACGTGATTCCTTACTCAGACCACCCTTTGCAATCGTGTTACCCCTCTCGCGAACGCGATGAATAAAATACCTCGAACCCAGCTGACCACCTTTCCTCTACGCGAATGCAATGACTAAACGCCCAGCCCTTCGCGAACGTGTAGCCTTCCTCGCGAATGCGAAGGCTTAAATCCCAGCTTCAACAACTGACCCTTCGCGAACGCGAGGACCCACTCGCGAACGCGAAGGTCCGTTTCTCTGCAGCACTGACCTGCAATTTTTTGCAATTCCAAACTTCATGGAATGGTCTGATTGACCACCCGAAACTCAGCCGAGGCCCCTAGGACCTCAACCAAACATGCCAACATATCCCAAAAACTTATTCAAACTTGTACCAATCTTCAAAACATCGAATCAACCAAAACACATCGGATTCAAGCCTAAGTTTTTCCAAAATCTTTCGAATTTCGCTTTTGATCAAAAACCCAACCAAACTACGTCCGAATGACCTGAAATTTTGCACTCACATCCCAAACGACACAATAGAACTACTGCAACTCTCGGAATTCCATTTCGACCCCTATATCAAAATCTCACCTATCAACGGGAAATCGCCAAAAATCCAATTTCGCCAATTCAAGCCTAAATCTACTCCGGACCTCCAAAACTCATTCCGATCACGCTCCTAAGTCCCAAATCACCTCCCGAAGCTATCCGAACCATCGTAACTCACATCCGAGCATGCTAACACATAAGTCAACATCCGGTTGACTTTTCCAACTTAAGTTTCCTCAAAAGAGACTAAGTGTCTCAAACCTTACCAAATTCTTTTCGAACCCGAGCCAACCAACCCAATCCCATATAGAACTGATAGACAAAGCAATAAGAAGTAGAAATGGGAGAAATGGAGTGGTAACTCATGATACGACTGGCCGGGTCATCACAAATTATTAATAGTACAGGGACACAAATGACACTTTTTCGATTTCCAAACGAAGCTTTTGTATTAGAGAGAACTTGATTATTTTGTTTGATGAGTTACAAATGGATAGCCCCTGTTATATACAGTTTCCTAGGGCTAGAGAGTAAATAATAATTATTACACAAGGCCCTTATTATTTAAAATTAAGTCCCTTCTCTAGAATTTTCTACATAGCTAGAATGTTCTAAGGATTTTCCTAGCAATTCCACTGGGTTCTAAGGTCTTCAATGAGAAATCTCCATATTTCTCTAGAACTTTCCCGTATGTGCTAGCCTATTTCATATGTAAGCTTTCCATAAGGCAAAAATCGGCAAAATACATAAAATACCACCTAAGCTTGTCCCCAAATCCCCGTTACACACCTGTTGTATACCGGAATAATTTTACACACCCAAGCTTTAAAAAGTGTATCTATGACACACCATTTTAACTACGTGGCAGGCACGTATTTTACACACAAATGAGGCACGTGACTTATAAACATTTTGTCTCTAAAGCCTCATTTGGACCCCACATGTCCAGTTTTTTTATTTTTTTATTTTTAGTCATCCTCTTCATTTTTATGAATCAAGTTCCAGCAAGTTCCTCCGTTGATGCTCATAAAGAACACTTCTAATAATTTCAATAGCTCCTCCTCTAAATCATGAACCTGAATCTCACCCCAAATCCATACAGAGCATTTTTTGCCCTTCATCCTTGCTTAAACCCCAGCCCGCTGCAATCCTAGGGCCCCTCACCATTCTTCTGCACCTATCTCTGGCCTTTGCTTCTTTTTTTTTTTTT